TGATTATTATCATCAAACGTTATACATCGTTGCATTAGTTTACTAATGAAGTAAAACTTTATATAGATGTCTAGTGTTAGAAAGTCGTATCTCTTCAAGCCTAGATTTAGGCAAATATTTGCATAGGCGTCGAAAGATTTATAAGTGGGGGGACCATATTCATATATTCGTATTCACAGACCTTAAAAACAATCGATTTCAAAAGAAATTAATGATGCAGAACACGAATATATGAATATGGTCCCCCCCCCCACTTATCGATCTTCGACGCCTATGAATATTTGCGTACAACATACTATAGACGGATGGAGGAGTGCGACCCCCCTCCCCCAAGAAAACCTGTGCACTCCCCAAAGAATTTTCCCGCCCCAAAAAAGGTTTTGTTAGATTAGTTATAAGCGCACGTATCAAAAGGTTTGATTGGCATGCAACATGTACGCGCTGCGTACCTATTTTTAAATTTTTCATGCTTATTTCCCTTCCTAAGAAACATGAAAGGTTCACTGACACTAGGACATTACCCGAAATTAAAGTTGAGTTCAAATGGTCAAATTGAAATTGTAAATTTTTGTGCAAAATGGCAATTTGTTTTCATATAAATTTGATCAGCCATGTTTCGCTATTTTTTTACTAATTTTTAAAGCGTGCGCTACATTGAAACGTTGGTATGTCACGTAATATTACATGAACACAATAAAAATTATTTGAGTGTAATAGGTTATATAGTTTTTACTTTATATGAAATGAAACACCGCAAATTTGTTTCTGATTTTGTTTGTCTTGGAATGAAAATGAGAATATATATATATATATATATATATATATATATATATATATATATATATATATATATATATATATATATATATATACATATATATATACATATATTTACTTACAGACATGATGAAGGCAGGTCGTGACAATTGATTCGGCTGCTTTTACCGCTGGACTACCAATAGTCGTCCATACATTCTCGCCATCCTTAGTACTGACACCAGATAAAGCATTATTCGATTCTCGCTCAACTAAAGAGATTTGGCTTTCATTGTTTTTTTGACTTTCATCCATAGTCGTCTCGTGCATGTCATCGCAGATCTTCCTCGCATCATCAGCATTACGACTATCACTTTCATCAGCATTACCGGCGTCAGTTTCATCTTCATCAGCAAATGCTTGGAAGAGTAAATGCAGGGGAACAGCTAGGCGGATAACATGACTGTTTCCTCTAGCAAATAATCCTGTAAGTATAAATGGATAAAAAATATTAGACACATGATATAGTAATTAGGACCTGAAAAATTAAATGGAGCTCGAATAATTGATAGTAAATCTGAAATCACTGAAACGAACCACTCAGGAGGACATCGGATTGAAACTTCTTGCACACGTTCATCTCCCAGTTGTCGTGTATTTGTGCAAAAAGGGATTTTGCTTCTGGTGAAAAGATATATTGCTCTCTCTCCACTTTGACATCCACAATCTTTCCAACCTCCGTTTTTGAAAACGTTTTTTCTCCATCTATGTAGAGGTTTGTGAGGAATTCGACTGAAATAAATGTAGAAAAATGTATAAATAAATAAATAACAAACATGAACGACGCATACAATTATATGCAGTTAACAATCGGTTTTGGTTTGAGTTATTGTGAATATTCAAAAGGTTGGCAGTACAGCCTGTTTCATCCAACACTAAATTAATCATTGGTAATCAGTTTCTACAGTATCGTCAAATCACGGTTAACCGTGGCGAAACTGGAAGGGTTACGAAACTGGAACGGTGTTAGGTTTATTGTCCGTGAAATTAAAAAGTGACATGCAGAAAATAGGTTGCATAGTTTTCACAATAGAATTGCATTTAAAAGAACAGCACATATAGTATATATACACACTGTTTATACAACTGTGAATTAGGTAGACTAGTAAGTTTGATAGTAGGTCTTAAGTGTTAGTTTTTACTTAATGCTATATTGACTATATTGGTACTTTGATAGGAAGAATTTGTCGATTGTTTTAATATAGATTATAGTGATATACAGTATCTAATATTACGTTTTTGTATTTTTGCACAAGTGAACATAATAAAAAAGTTTGGGGGGGAGGGGGGGGCAACGATTTGGCGGGCACAAAAAATATTTCCCCGGAAGGGGGGGTAGAGAATGATAAATAAAAGGCCGTTGAGGCCAATTCACGGATAAGATCAAAGTGAAAGAAAGAATTAAAGCAGTTTGCAGTAGTTTTTGCAAACTAGCGTTGTGCAAATTTTGCCATTTGTCGTGCTGTAAAAGGCCCTATTCGCAGACAAAGAGTGCGTCATTTGTCATTGTTTGACTCGCCCACATTCAAGTAACCACAAAGACTCACAGACGTTGCTTTTTAATATGTCTGAGTCAAAAATGCAATATGAACGACATTTTTCAAGAAGGCAAAGGGCACTTTGCCACCCGAAAAAGGACACTTTTTGTGTCTTCTGAAAACCTGAGGGGCATTGGCCCCCTAGCCCCTCCCCCGGTTCCTACGCCCCCGATTCAGTGTAATTATATGAATGTATAAAAAAATGCAACTATACCTAGATTTTGTTCCCACTGTTCACACGCGTCTTTTTCGTCCTCCGTGAGCTCAGAATCAGCAAGGCGTCGAAAAATCGGATTTGGGAAGTACCACAATATTCTCGATGTGAAGCCTTTTGCATTGTGAATAATGGGCAATGCTGTTTGTGGCTGTGTGAAGCCAAGCAATGTGAAGGATGTTTGCCTCATGTTGAAATTAGCGTTTCCCGTGACTAGAAAATAAATAGAAAGGTTTGCCGGTTAAGTTGCAAGTGGCAACATGCTGGCTAATTGTACTGTTTATTATTTTCCAGATTTGTTACTGTATCATAAGCACACTTTGGTAGCCGCCGCAAATGAAGGAGACGAGAATGCGAGATCTCATATCTGAATGCAGGGCCAATGCATGAAATGGGTCATTATGTTAAATTTGTTGAAAATAGTCTTACGGCGTACATGGTTCGTTCCGCCTATAAAGTTGAAATGAGTAAGGAGAAGCATTTTTGTGGGACGGTAATAATATTTTGCAAAAAGAAGCAACAAAACTTTCTGTTCTCAGCGAAATATAGACTTGGATCAAGTCCGTCTCGATTGCACCTCGTGCGCCTGATCCCTCGGACTCTTGAGAGACGGACTTGATCCAAGTCTAACCGAAATAGAGGAAACATATATTTTGTAGTAACACTTGCCGGGCAAACAGACGCCTTGTGCAAAATGGACATGGCAAAGTTTGCAGTCAATTGGCCAAGCTGGTTTGAGCCGCATACGAGGTGTGCACTAATTTAATTTGGAAAAGGATTAAGGTTAATTTAGTTGACCAGACTTTTTGTATGGAAAAAAGAAGTATTAAATGTATGATATACACTACATAAAACTTACTAGTTTCGCGATTTTTTGCTTTTCCAGTAAACATTTTCAGGAAATCCTGGTATTCGCGGTTATCTTGCACTGTCGATTTGGATGAGCTGTACATATTCATTGTGGAGAAAAACGACACTAATTCGTCGAATAGACCATATATCCGTCCTCCATTATTGGCCAAAATGTCTCCGAACTTCTCCCAAGTACAATGGGGAAGAAGCATTGTTCCTGGGGAAAGGGATATTCCATTTTCGCCCTTGGTTGCAGACGGCACATTATTGTGAACTTTCTCAATTAGGTTCTCAAGGAAATGATGTAATGCAGATTTACATCTTCCTGTTAATAAAAATATATTTGTGTAAGAGATACATGCATGCTTTTATATAACAAAGCAATAATTTGGCAATATAAGCAATTAACAGCAAGCAATACAATCAATTTGATAATATAGAATTTAGAAAATGTCAAAAAGAGAAAATGAAATGGCATAAAAAAGCACCCGATTTTAAAATGAAATACAATTAACTGAAATGTATAATGGCGTATCGGAGAGTAAATAATAGTCATGGTTGAAATGCTAAGAAATAGAGATTAGCTCGCAGAAGAAATATGTCATGGTGAATTTACATTTGTTATTTGCGATGTGCAGGGTTACATTAATATAATCCGTGGACCGTGACATAGATTATTTTGGACAATCGTTTCCGTGAAAATGGAAAACAGATTATAAAACATTTTATTATTCTGAACTAAAAACTGAATAGGAATGACCATTCCCCCAACGACAAGCAACCGAAATTATGACTGACTCAACAAGTCTACACAAAATTCCATCATATAGGCATAGCATGAAAGACCATCACAAAATTAGTAATGTTCCAAAGTTTCGTTACGAAATGTTGTAAAATGCGGATAATATAGCCTTGCGAAATTTGCAATTTTCCGTCATTTTGTATTACGCACAGAAGCGGTAACCATTTCCCGTTTGTAATCTAAAATGACTGAAAATTGCAAACTTCGCAAGGCTATATTTTCCGCATTTTACAACATTTTGCAATGAAACTTTGGACTGATATTACTAATTTTCTGATATTAGTCTTTCAAGCTGTGATAAATTTTTTGTCTAGACTTGTTGAGTTTAAAATTTTGGTTAATTGAGGAATGGTCCATTTAAATTTTTTTTAAACGAATTCAACTTTCCATTCACTAAAAACTGCGAATACGGACATGCGAATGGCAACACTTTCTATTAACAGAATTTGGTTTATAGTCTTGCGTGAAATTCCGATGAAAAATATTTTTTATTAATTTGGCACATACGGAAATAAAAATATTGTTCAATCTCGTTCCCCTAGCCTGCGATCATCGGTCGGTTAAAAACAAGCCGTTGGGAATTAGTGAATAGTGGGCTTTGAATTTTAGGTTAACCGGGCCCATAACTTTATTCTATTTATAATTAAGTCAACCTAAAAATTATTCGATCGCGTGAGATATTTCGCGCATACACAAACGGCTTAATTGCCTTTTCATGTTCCACTCAGTTGTGTTATTCCTGAAATCATCGGGCCTTGTATAAGCTAAGACTTAGCGATATGAAATTGAATATAGTTTCGGAGGTGGGTCATATTAATAAACCTGGAAAATCCATTTTGAGCAACTCAGATATTTAGCCGCAAGCGTCGTGTATTTCGCGCCTAAACAGAAACAGGTTTAAATTGGTCGTGTTCCACTCAGTTTTATTGGCCACTGCTATTCTTGGCCACTGATCTAATCTTATTATATTAGCGATACCAAAATGAATGAAATTATGGAGGTGGAGCGGGTGATAAATTAGAAAATATAATTTATGCCCAATACACAAACAAAGCCAGGAAAGTTTTCACTTAACTGTACAGTTTTCCATGGCCAAAGACCTACATAGAAGTTGAAGAAGACATTTATCATGCAGTGCGAGGGTAATAACAGTTAGTCTGTCAACCATCAAGGCATAAGGAGGCCACGTGCACTAACGAGAGAAAATAAGTATGGACTTATAAGACGCGTGTAATGATAAATTTAAAGTCACGAACACACTAGTATAAATGGCCAATTTGTTTGTTAGCAATGTAAGTCGAAAGTAAAATAAGAACAGGAGTTGCCGTTGGTCATGCTGATCGAAAATAAGTGGGGGCCTAACAGAATCTGACCATTTATATATTATAGAAGTATTGTAGTGACTTAAATAAGATGGAACATAATTTAGTCCTGACTTATTTTCTCTGGTATAAATGGCCGTAAAGGCCCGTAATATATAACAATACGCTATTAGTAAAAGTAGAAAATATACCTGTTTTGAGAACAACTGCCAGCCAAACAACAACAGGTTCCTCCCAACCATCCTTAACAGTTACGGATGCATGACCCAAAACGAACGAAACTGCGGTTAAAAGGGCAAACAGCACAGTTGTTTTTTGTTGCTTCATCCTTTTGCCAAAGATTTCACAAACCTATATAAAGAAGTGTATAGTAAATTAGTATTGGCGTTAATTTCAGCGTTTTATATAAGCCAACACTTCTCACAGTAATGAATGTATTTACACGAGAATACAATTACTTACATGTTGAAGTTTATGGGGTATTAAATCCCAGTCAAAATCTAATTCGTAACAACGTTGCAGATTTTGCTCAATAGTGTGACCGTTGTTCCAAGCCATGAAATTGATTTTTCCAATCTAGTTAACAGTTGTCCAAGGCAGGCAGCAAAAGAAAGGTGAAACAAATACAATGGACCTCTATTTATACCATTAAGGCAATAAGCTATATGACACGTGAAGCCTGAAGGCAGTGACAATGCGCTGAAAGCAGATCCTGGCTAGGGCCTAGGTGACATATCGGAAATGTTAGATGAGAAAGATTTATAAGACACCTTAGTCAAAAGCAATTCGTGTTTTTAAGATTTGTTTAGTAATGCAGCTTGGGGGAATAAAATGAAATGAAATTATTTTTTAAAGATAAAATTGAGAACCGTTAAAAACGAGGTAGAAATGTAAAGGCACGTTTTCCAAAGTTTTTTGCTCCTGGGCAAAGCCAAAGGAAACAGATAGTGTGTCATCAAGTCGCTTAGAATGTTGACAGGTAAATGATTTATCAGCGTCCTGCTAAAATTCCATAATCGATTATCTGTATTCATGATCGTCTGCATGTTTGGAAACTGTAAACAATGTTAAAAATATTATAGCATTGAATAAACGCAATTTTATACAAAACGCCATTAATTAAAAATTTTGAGCCAGGTTTTATTATCCGAAATATATTCTGATATCTTAAAACGCGTAATTATTTGCATTGCAAAGAAAACAATGGGCGGAAGTGTTACTGTTGGCCATACGGGTCTCTATAAAAATATAAACTGAGTATGAAAGTTGAAGCAAGTCAGTTAAAAAGTATCAAATAGCATGCATGACAGCATGTGTTTATGTAATTTAACTGATTCTCACAAGTACTAGTTTTACATCAGCAATATGTGTGAAGCAACAAACTTCGTCATAACTTCATCAAAAAGAGAAATATCAGAGAGAAGACGAGCTTTGTTCAGAAGTGTTGATGGTGATATGTTTTACCCAATGTCGGTGTGGCCAAATGATATGAGAATTGCGTTTTGGAAGAAACCGATTGGTGACGAAGAAACATTTAAGTTAGTGCTGTTCCTGATGGGCAATGGCTGTCCCCCAACAATCATAAAAGATTGGATTGTGTCTTCGACATTTTGGAACAAAAATAAAACAGTCAAACGATGGGAACAAGTAAATTGGATTATAGCGAACATTGCTAAACATGAAAGAAGATGGTTTTATTTTGATTTACATTTCAAAAAGTTTTTGTATATGGATCGCGTAGGTACTAAAGTAAGGAACGACCTACAACCACCTACAACGACCTACAACGACCTACAACCACCTACAACGACCTACAACCACCTACAACCACCTACAACGATGCTACAACGATCTACAACCACCTACAACGACGCTACAACGATGCTACAACCACCTATAACGACGCTACAACCACCTACAACGACGCTACAACCACCTACAACGACCCTATAGCAATCCTACAACGACCCGGCTCGTATGTATTAAATATTTTCCGAAATTTTAGTATATTT